GACCTCAGCCTGGCCCAAGGGTGGCAGTGCCAAATCCACCCTCATGGACGTACCTGTGTTTCCATCTCTTCCTTCTTCAGCTTGATGAGGGACATGCCTGAAAAGTCCATGGTGTCTGTGGGGAAAAGCAGGGGGGGGGTCTTTGCTGAGCGCACCCCTTGCAGAGGACCCTCACGTGCCAAAGCAGTGCCAACGGGGCACCTTGGGGTGTTCACTAGGCCAGAAAGGGATTTCGGGTGGGTTTTTTTTTTTTTTTCCTCCCCTTTCTTCATAAAAAAAAAAAATCTCACCTTTCTCCTCTATTTGCTCTTGCCCCGACTTGGTGGAAGCCACCACGTTGGCCGCCATCTCGTTGACGTTGCGCGAGCACTCCTGGAGCCGGCCCAGGTTCCTGCTGCTCTTCTCCGCTTTCACCTGCAAAGAGCACGGGGACGGCTGCGGGCGCCCGCCACGGCACCTCCGCACCGGCCCAGGGGAGCCCCCAGGCAGCCATGTTCTGTGTGAGACCAGAGCCACCGATCACGCCATGTCAGAACGGTCCTCGGGCATGAAAACCCGGGGTTGAAAAGGACGGACGGACAGATGGACAGCTGTTTATTCTTGATGAGCCCATCACGGCCAGACAAGGTGACCCCTGCGAGGCCCTTCAGCCCCAGGACACCAAACCAGCTCTACTCCCACCTCAGCCAAGCACACATGGATAAGCAGCATCAGCGAAGACAGAGCTATTTTTTTTTTTTTCCTTAACCATGCTCTTAGTTTTAAAACCATCTGCTGTACAAAGCAGTATGGGTTGTCCTCCTCCCCCCTGAACCTGCATCCCCATTTGCTCATTGAAACCTCTACACATGGCTTTCACCCACACCAGCAGAAAAGGTGGCAAGGACTAAAATCCATCATTCTCAATGCTGGCTCCTGCAGTTGCTTATTCGGGGTCTCTCCTTAGTTATTAACATTTTCTTTACATAATCGGCTTGACAGGAAGAAGACGGGAGGTTTTACACGTCTTCATTTCTGAGGCAAGCCCTGCTACGTGTGGGAATATTAACGCAGGTGAAGACACATGGATTAAAATCACAGACTGACTTGAAAATAGTAAGAGCTTCCCTTCCTCCCTGCTCTGGTGGACAGGATGGCCGCACACTGCTGCCCAAAAGCATCCATGGGCCAACACCGTGGGAACAAAATGACTTAAAACTTGACGAGGCACGTGCAGATGTTCCTGCTGGGATGCTCACCTTGGAGGCAGCCACCAGCTGGGCCGTGCTGGCGGCGATTTCGTGGGAGCAGACGATCAGTTCTTCGTATTTGCCCGTATGCAGGACAACTCTGTCTGCTGACTCCCTGCATTACAGATCAGAAGGGAGATCGTATCAGAGATACTTGCTGTGCACTACGAAGCAAGTGCAGGTTATTTACCTCCTGCTATACCCTTAGAAATCAGCATCAGACCTCTGAACCAGCAGCCTTGCCTGTAATTATTTAAAGCTCATTTACATGCAACGTCTCAAAGCCCAGATCCAGAAGTTTTGGATGGGTGTAAAATATCAACGGACACAAGATTGTGCTTCCATCATGAAGTGGATGAGATTTTTAAAGCTTTGTCCAAAAAAGCCCCCACATTTCCTGCACTGGCACAGGGATACCCTGCCCTGATCCCAACCACCCCATCCATGACCATCAGAGCAGCAACCAGGACGTGGAGTACATGATTGCAGCAACTTTCACATTTTGCAAACCGGGAGGAACTGGCAGTCCTTATTTTGGTGACCATGTGGTCTGACCCAGGCTACGATGCTCTATAAGGAATTAGCAATAATGCTCCATGCAGACTCGGCAGCGAGACAGTTTGGGTTATCGGGCGATGGAGAAGTGTGGCCCAGCCCCAGGCACAGCACACAGAGCCATGCCTGGAGAGGAGCCTCCAGCAGCGGCCGTGGGAGAGGTCCCAGGGGTACCTACACGAGCTGCGTGGCTCCCCAGCCCACCGCCTTGGAGGCAGAGATCAGCCCTTCGGTCCATCGCGAGTTCTTGGCGTAAAACTCCTGAGTTGTTGCTGCCCCCTGTTGTTATGAGAATATTATGGCTTGTATTAACTTGTTTCTAATACACAACAATATATAAATCCGTAAGTCCATAAAAAATATCCATATAAAATATAAAAATATATAAATTCATCTATAAAAACATCAATCAAGGGATTGGCAGCATTTCTCTATCCTTCAGGCTGCTCTTACTGGCCTGCTTAAACACAGATTGAGAAAACTAACTTTGGAGCCCCAAGTCTGCACATTTGGTCTGGGTTTAACACACACGTTTAGGCTGTCACCTTTAGATGGACAAGGCTTTGCAAAGGTGACAGCAACGTCTGTAGAGAGCACAGGGCTGAGCAGCCCATCTCCAGCAAGTGAGACTGCCAGGGTACCGCTAACACGGGAAACCACAAAATTCAGCTGGTATTTCTGCAAATTGTGGGAAATGCTCCCGTATTTCATGTTGGTCCAGAGAGATGAGTGTAGGGGAGGACTTACCCGGCCACTTTCGACTATCTCCTTCTGTAGGTTCGTAGATGTCATTACAAGAAGTCTAATAGCCTGGAATGAAGAAAACCAGGTTTTGGTGTTTGATGGGGATTTTATAGAGAAGGATTGATGCTGCTGATGGTGGCAAGTTACAGTTTTGCAGACTCTTGATGCCCCAGCTAGGTTTCTGCAGTACTGACCTTCATTAGGTCCGTGCAGGAGTTCAGAAT